AATAAGGAATAGGAAACTTCTTCTGTCGTTCAATGAAAACAAGAGAGCTCCTCCATTTGTTGAAATGGAAAAAAAAGCTCCTCCGTCTTTGAATACAAAAATAAAATAATCCCTATATCTTAAAAAATAGGAGGGCTTCTCAATTGAATTTTAGAAATTCAGGCATATACAGCATTTTGCCTTATGCACAAAACCTATTATCACATTATACAGATTAGTCCATGCCACATAACCCCTATATAACCCCTATATAACCCCTATGTAACCCCAATATAACCCCTATATAGCCCCTATATAACCCCTATATACTGGTCAGGGCTTATGGTTTCGGGCTTGGGGTTGGTTCTCCACCAGCTGCAACCGCACGGTTCATTACGCAGCCGCGAGCTGTTTATGAATGAGCTGGGCACGCTGTAGTATAGTATTGTAGTATATTGTAACAGAATATAATATGTTATAGTATATCATAATATATTGGGTGGTTCCTCACAATCTGACTTACTTTATGAACCCTACACCCGTATGTCGTTTTGGGCTTTTTAATGCCAGAGTTGCTAGACCTCCAAAGCTCAGAGCCCGACAACATGTGCTTGTACACCCTGGCTGTGTGGTAGTTCGCAAAGGCGTCTGTACCTCGGCGCTTTAGGGTTTAGGGGTTCAGAATCAACTTAGTGAGGGTTAGTAGGGAATGAGGGAATACATTGCATGGGGATTGTATTCCTTGATTCCCTGCCAATCACCAGCAAGTCATTGCGACTTCCATTCATATCGTATATGGTAGTTTCCTGACAAAGGGGTACCTCAATATAGACCCCTAAATACTATAGTCCTCATTATCAGGACCCCCAAAAAGGTACCCTAATTTTGGGAAACTCCTAGTATCCCCCTTAATTGACCCCTATAATCGTCCCGTATATAATCCCTACATAACCTCCCTGAAGGAGTTTAGACCCTATACTAAGGGCTATAGTACATTGTGGTCTATATTGGGGTGCCCCGATTTATGGCAACTAACAACGAAATCTGTGAAAATGAGCACTTACCAAGTGCTACCAGTGAGAAGCTCAGGGTCCGGACAATCCTTTCCTGCCATGTTCTCTATCATCAGATGTCCCCCTGGATGCTTGTCAACATACCTGGAGTTAGGGTTTAGGGTTTAGGGTTTAGGGTACATACCTGGGGACGGCTTGCATTCTGGGCTTCAGAGGGGTTTTGAGCAACAAAGCAAGCATCCTTTTCTGGCTACCTTACAATCCTTACAAATACCTATTTATCAAAGGCGCCACCGATGCCGACCCCCTTACATTCACCAGGTTGTCCTGTCCTGTCCAAGCATGCCAGGCCTAGTCAGGTCGTACACGCGGCCGTCGATGATGACCCAAATGCTTTCCCGGGAGTTGTGTTTGGCCACCTGACCATGGCCCAGAGTTATCGAGCTGACACTGCGCATCCTGGGAGGATCTCTGCAAAAAGAAAGCAAGGATGAACAAGTGCAGAAACACAGGCACTATCATCCACGACAACAAAAAACATCGAAACCTTGAACAAGCTTGTCTTGCAACTTGTTCATGACAGAATTTGTTGGCACACTTAAGCCTGACAAAGGGATGGTTGGAACAGACCTGACGCTTCAAGCTGCTATATAGGGATTATATAGGGTAACATAGGGCTATATAGGGATAATGGAAAAATGAAAACTACTATTGATGCTAAATAGAAATCATTTTCTTTTCCGTCATCCCTATATAATCCCCATATGCCCTTGAACCCACTCCTAACCTAAACCCTAAACCCTAAGCCCTAAACCCTGAACCCTAAACCCTAAACCTACCATTCGCCCTTGACCGGCCTCGGCCACAGTGTACTTCTTGAGCTCCTGCCAGACTTTTGGCTCAAGCGGGTCCCTCTTCAGGATTTAATTCTTAGGGTTTGGGGCTTGGGATTCTCTAGAGATGATTTTGAGAAACTCCCCGACTGCATCTTCACTTTTCGTATGAGTTTTCTCCGGAAAGGGCCTTTCCTTGCTGGCCTGGCAGGCTCCAAGCTTGACGGACTTGTGAGCCATTGTCTACACTCCTAGTATCCCCCTTAATAACCCCTATAGTAGTCCCCTATATAATCCCCTAATGACCCCATTTAAGGAGTTTACATTTCGGCTCTTGTAGCTGCAGCGCATCTGGCATTGCTAGAGCTCAAAGCTTTGGATTTAGGGTTTGGGACGTTTTCGTGCTTGTGGCTGCTTGCTAAGGACGAAGACGTGGGGAGGACCTGCAACAGAGAAACTGGACCGCGACGAACCTCAGCTGACCTCAGCTTCAAAAACAAAATTGAGGGTCTTTGAAATTAGGATTATAGTATTTTGGGGTCTATATTGGGGTCCCTTTATTTAGGGAACCTATCAGTCGTGAAGAGCTGTGATGGGTGCATCCCCAGGTCCTTCGAGTGGCCCCGCCCGCCGAAAAGAAATCGGAAAGTGCTTAGTCTACTGACCAGGGCACATATATCCCTATATAGTCCCTATGTAACCCGAGCATCCCGAGCTTCCATTTCATTTCCCATGTTCTCTTCCATTCGTTTCTTCATTATTCAGGGTGATCCTACATTATAGAGTTGAACCGATTCCATGAGTTGCCGTAATTTGGTGAAGCCCCTATTGCTTGACGAATATGAACATCAGAAACCAAGACTGTCAATCTCAAAGCCCACAAGCCACAAACTCACACCGCTTCGAAAAACCTCAGCACTGAACCCCTTATGCCTAAGCTCCAACCCCACAACCCGGAACCCTAGGCAGTAACTTACTTAATATGACCCAATATAACCCCAATATATACCCTATTATAATATAGTAGCTTCCATTTTCTTTGCCATTATCCCTATGTAACCCCAATATATACCCTATTATAATATGGTCGTTTCCATTTTCTTTTCCATTATCCCTATACAACCACTATCTAACCCTTATATAACATAACCCCTGTAATCCCTGTAGTTTCCATTTTCTTTTCCATAATCCCTATATAACCCCTATATCTTACCCCCCCCCCAAAAGGCCCCTCCCAACCTCTACCGGCTCCCGGCCTGCTTGTTCTCTGCCTTCGGCTCTGGGATCAAGGGCACGAGCTTGGTCAGGCCATCCTCCTGCCATAGGGGTTTACGTGGAGGATCATGGGGACTTAGTAAGTAGGTTCATAATGGAAAAGAAAATGGAAGCTACTATATATTATTTAGGGTTTGGGGATTAGGGTTTAGGGTTTAGGGTTTACGGTCATGGGGACTTAGTAAGTAGGTTTATAGGGCTTATTAAGCTATTTGCTAAGTCCCCATGACCCTCCATGCAGGAGGTGGGGCTCAGGTTTTGGCTTTGGAGTTCTCTGTTGCAATTGCCATGTCCTGTTTTTGTTTGGAAAATCTTAAAAGGTTGCGCCAGGGCGCAGTTTGCAGGGTGCCTTTGCAAGAGCACATTCGCTTGAAATAGCCTGCTTGTGCGCCAGGAAATCATCCTGGCTATCAACGTCTCGGACAACCAAGTTCACATAGTGGAGTGCCTCTTGGTTTGGGGGGTTAGGGCTAGATGTATTTGGGGTCTGAGGGCTTACGGCTCAGGAGCGTGGCTTGTGGGTTGAGAGCTCTAAGGTCCTGTAAAAGGGATCTCATGCTGATTGGGATATTCTGTGGCCTGCACCAAGATATACTAGGGACTTACCCCTCCCAAACGAGCATAGCAAACTCCTAGGCCACCCTTCAGAAGAACACTAGTCATGAATCTCTATGCAGCGCCTTCTAAGGCTTCATATTTCTTTGGGCAGAGGGTAGGCAATCTTGAAGACCTCCCCGAGACCAAGACTTGGAGCGCCCTTGAGATGGAGTTCTGATGTGGTTGCGAGGTTCTCACTTTGTTTCTTGGAGGGGGTAGGGTAGCTAATGGCCCCATCATTGATGCGGCCACTTTCGGCATGCGCCATAACGGCATAACATTGATTTTGCAAGGATCGCCAACTTTCAAACCGCCCTAAGAACCAAAATTACCCGGCCATTTGCATGTGGCCTTGCAGCGCTTTCTGTAACTGAGCGGAACATGCCCATCTACCCCAGCGGCCCCCTACTTACCAGCAATGGCTGGACCCTTCAATACACACCACATGCTCACTCTTCTGGCTACAGGGTCGAGGTTTTCCATTTTCTTTTCCATTATCCCAATATATCCCCAATATACTATAGTATATTATACAAAATCCCAATATATCCCCAATATACTATAGTATACATAGTATATTATACAAACCTATATAATCCCAATAAGTCCTTGCCTCGGCGCCCGGAACCGCACACTGAAAAACAGCAAGCAGTTTGTCTTTTCAGGGCCCCAAGACCAAAACATATTAAAGAGGGTCTTCCCAACAATGGCCTGACCCAGAAGAAGCATTTTGTCAAGAACTTTCGGGATCCGGATCGTGCAACACTTGCCTCAATCCACTTCGCGCTCAGTAGGCATTTCTACTGGTGCATCTAGGGATCACATACGCTCGCAAAAATGCCTCACCCACCAATTTCACATGGCACACTGCGGCCTCCCGGAAGGTCAGAGTCTTATCCTCATTCTTCTCCAGCTCTTTGGAGCCTCATTGCAGGCTTTGTTGCACAGGAAAACTACCCAAGCAAGGCCACTTCGCGATTCCGATAGCTGAACTCGTGTGAGGCAGGCCTTTGCCAGCGCGTTCCAGCACGCACAGCTGAACCTCATCAGCAAGGAAGTTTGGGATCTGCGGTTCCTAAATTCTGGCAATCTGCACGGCTCGGGGAATACTGGGACCATGGGAAGCCTTCTAAGAGGACCTATTCTGCAGGTCCCTCAATGTCGGGAATGAGAAGCCAGCCCATTATCCCATCCAAGTAGATGGAATGGGATGGTATCGCGAATTCAAGTAGGGCTCAGGTTTTACAAGCCAAACCAAACAACCAACCTGATCAACCTGGAACAAATCCTACTGTTCCTGCTTCTATTTGCCACAGCGTTTGCTTTCGTCATCTCCGACAAGCAGCCGCCAAAGCAGCAGCAGCAGCTGTGGTTCCTGCAGCTTCCACCACCAAGGCCGCCAAATCATGAAACTTCATCATGCGCTAAAAACATAGTCCTATTCGCAATCCTTGTACAAGTGATGCCTCTTCTGTTGATGCAGGAAATGCTGCACGGCCCCTGCTTATGCGAATGGATTTCCTGCATCAGAGTGCCCAAATGAGCCATCATAGCAACAGTTCTCGTGAGACGAACCACAGTGCCTGTCAACAGCGATTGGTCATGACCATCATTATTATACAAATTCATGATTGTTGGCGGATCTAGTCAGCTAGTCGTTCGTGCGACAGCGGAGCAGAAAACATCAGCGTTCGAACCAGCATGACTTGAAACCTCGCACTCCAGTCCTACTCGGAGGGTCCGCGCGAGGACTGGCTCATCTAACGCATCTATCAGGGGCCTCAGACACTTACACAATAGCAGCTGTCACTGTGCGGCAATCTGTGCATCAAACAGGACTGGAGGGGGGGGTCGCTCTGCAGGTGTCCGTACATAAGGACAGCCTTCACGTAAGGCATATCTGATGGCGGGAGACTCAGAGCAGGAGAAAGTCTGATGTAAGGTCCGCACGAGGCACCTCGGGCGGCAGAGCCAATGAAGGGTTTCCAGGGCATCCGCGACACGGGAGTTTCTCAAAATCTTCCTTCTTGAAACGCCCTTAGTGATCCCTACCTGCGGTGAGTGAGGATATTCTGTTTTGAGAAACCCCGAGATATGCGAAACAGCTCGAGCAAGTCTCCGGCTGTACCCAGCAGCTGTGCCCAGGCACCCCGCCTTCACTGGCCCAAAAAGGAAAAATTCGAGGATTTAGGGTTTAGGGTTATTGTGGGTTTAAGGTTGTTGTGGGATCCTTACTAATCAGAACAGTCCTAGCGGTAGGAAGGGCAGAAAGAAATGATTTCAAGTAGCAAACTATCCCACAAATTGCCCAGGTTTCTACATAGAGCATGTTAGGTGGCTGCTTCAAACGAAGGGATGGTCGCCCCTGTGGTGCGTCGACGCGCGGACCAAGGCGCTGACGAAAATGGAGCCCAACATTGTCACTGTGTCACAGGAGTCACCTCAGATCATGAGAGTCCGATTCTGAGGCGCCTGAGGCATAGTATCCCATGATTGCGCGACGCGTCTGAGAGAATGTTGCTCGACTTATTGTTGTTGGCTCCCCCCTATTTAACCTGACCCTCCAGCCAGTAAGCCAGAAATCCCACAGCCTCCGCTTGAAATACCGAACCCTTGTCTCCAAAGCCCAAATCCTTATCCCTACGCCCCAGACCCCTGAACAATATAAACAAATTTCCACATGCTTCGCCATTCTTCTACATACCCCTACAAAACCACCTGTACAACCCTAGAAAAACCCCGTGCAACCCCTAACAACCCTAAATTGCCCCATAAAACCCTGTAAAACCCCAACCCCCTCAACCCGAAAAATCCCAAAACTCCAAACCCTAAGCCCTAAACCCTACAAACTCAGTGTCCAGATGGGGCCCCGGCTTCCGCAGGAACATCTGCGAGTGGCTTCAACTTTTTGGGCCAAGCTGCGGAGTCCATGCGTTTAGGATGTTTAGGGTTTAGGACCCTGTGATGGGGATCAAATAAGGATAATGGAAAAGAAAATGGAAACTACTATACTATAATAGGGGTTATATATAGGGATAGGTTTAGGATTCAGGGCCTAGACAAAGGTCAAAGGATTTGGGGTTTAGGGTTGAAGGATTTAGGGTTTAAGGATACAGGGTTTAGGGGTTGAAGGATTTAGGGTTTAGCGTTTAAGGATCTGGGATTTAGGGTATTTGGGATCTAGGGGTTGCGGCTCAGGGTAAAGGATGGCCATGCCTAGTGACTTTACCTTCTTCAGCTGTCAGGGATCATTATGCAGGCATCATTCTGCAAACTCCCATGTGGGGAGTTCCAAAACATGAATATCCCCAAACCCGGAACCTTATGCCCGAAACCCTTTGTTCTTGGGTGGTTTCAAAGGGGCCCCAGGTTTTCTGACTTCAGGTTGGGTCGAGCTGGGAACCTCCAAACACCAAGGCCCGCCCCCGGGTTGATGGAAGACATCTTCACCACTTCATGTACTTACCAAGACCCGCCTAGTACCCTCACTTGGGGACATATGGCCCCTAATAGTGGGTATTTAGGCCCAAATAGAGGGTAGGTGAGGGTCTAGCTAGAGTATGGTACAGTAATTTCAGGTAGTGCGGGTCTGCTCCATCAGCAGTATGGGCAGGAGATGTGGGACAGTATCCCGAGTACAATCATGCAGGTACTGTTGAAGGCAAGGCTTATATACAGGTGCTTCTCAAAAAAAATGAAGTTACCCTTTATGCCCAGCAAGTAACGGTGTATATGAGAGCCTGCGCTATGACGATCTTGAACGAACTCAAGTTGCTGGCGTTACCGCATGTATAGGTTTTGCGGCGGCCAACACAGCCAGCCCAGTACAGCGAAATATCAAGAACCTGCATGGAGCGCAGTGCTGCTGCCAGTAAAGTAAGTAGCGGGCTAGAGCCCATCTCGAATCAGACTTACGCATTACTGAAGCGCAAAGGTAGGCTGCAAGTAGCTCGAGGACCCCTGCAGGGCTGCTTTTTCTGGGTTGCTGTTAAGGAACTTAAATTAAGTTACTATATTGGGGAGACCCTATTGCTTACTATACATACCCATTATGGTAACTTAATTTAAGTTCCTTAACAGCAACCCAGCTTTTTAAGAATCACCCCACCAGGAGTTACCTCCGCCAGCTGAGTTGCTCTTTGGCTCAGGCTGCCATCTCTCCTTGCAACATATTGGGGTTATATAGGGATAATGGAAAAGAGAATGGAAGCTACTATTTAGGGTTTAGGGTTTAGGGGTTTACTCATCGCCCTGCCTGGCAAAAAAGAAAGTGCGGCTGCTGCGCGGGGATCCCATTTGGAGTAAACCCCTAAACCCTAAACCCAAAATAGTAGCTTCCATGTTCTTTTCCATTATCCCTATACAACCCCAGTATACCCCCAATATAATCCAAACATAATCCCAAAACCACTAGTCTTCCAGCTAGCAGAAGACCGTCCTGAGGCGGTGCCCAGTCTTTGGAGGCGGCCTCATGCTTCTTGAAGCATCGATCACCATAGCGGCACGTGCCTAGGCGAGTCAGAGCTTGTGAAACAACAACACAGCCCTGCATCTGAGGCTGCATCCTCGCTGGTAGTGGATGCAGGTCTGATCTGATCCTCATATTGCAAGATTGCAAGAAGCAGCACCCACCCGCACACGTCACATGACAATTCACAGTCCCGGGATCGCACAGCACGTTTTCAACACATGCTCAACTCTTGCAGGACACCGGTATTGCACGTGGCTGCAGGCTTCCCACATAGTGGCGGAATCTGTACTTGCAAGCCAACACACGTTATCAACACGACACCGCAACTTCGCCGATGTTTGTGTTGCACCAACGGGAGGGCGTTGCCCTTCCATGAGCCCTCCGCTGTGGGGCAGGAGCTCGGCTTTTGCCATCTTTGGCAATCTCCTAGATGGCCGCAAGCGATGCAGCCAACTGAAAAAAAAGGATAACCAGCCCTCAAAGCATGGGTCCACACGAGCCGGTGAACAGGCTCAACGACCAATTGTGCATGCATCCCACACATCGAGTCTCAAGGGAAGAGAGCGCAGGCGCCTCAACGTGTGGGTCCTTCGAATTCCTACGGACACCCCTCATGTGAGCCATAGTCTAAACTCTTAGTATTCCCCTTTATAACCCATATAGTAGGTCCCTATATAATCCCCTTTATAACCCTCTTCAAGGAATTTGGACTGTGGCTCATGTGTGGCTCTTTGGCTCTTCCAGCTCCCATCACTGGTTCGCTGGAGGTTCACTGTCCTTGTGCTCGCTTGGCTTTAAGGCACCGCAGATCCTCAGGGCTCCTCTGGCGGCTCCAGTCATGTTCACCGCATCCGGGCCCAGCTCTATAGCTGCCAGGTTGCCCATCAGATACACCGGGAGCTTTCCCCATTGGAGGTTCTCAGTTAGCACGGGCAGCCCATTGCGCATGGGCAAAGGGTGGGCTGCCTGTAGGCCTGCAAGCAGTGGATCCGTGGCTGCATCCACCAGTGCTCCGGTAGCACAAATAAGGTAGTCTGCCTCGATGACGTCACCACTGCTAAGGGCCACTGCCCAAGTGCGATCAAAGGATGCGGAGACTATCTCTGTCCACTCGTGTACCTTCACATGGCCCTTGGCCTCTAGCTTCTCAACGACTGCGTTGAGCTCAGGTGAGATGGATCCTCCATCACGAGCCGCTTTGTTGATGGCAACGCGCTGCTCCACCGAAGCTTGCTCGTAGTCTCGCCTGTGATCCCGTCGCCCGCTTCCCATCCATGACAAGCCGAGGTCATACTGTTTCACACGTCGATCCCTCCGAAGCAGGAGGTCGATGTGGCCGCGTTCAGCGAGCTGAGCGCACAAATGGGCGGAGGAAAGACCACCCCCGACAATGAGGCCTCTGCCTCGCAGCGAAGCCAGCTTGTCAGGTTTGTCAAAGAGGTCCCAGGCGTGGAGGATCGCTGCGGAAGATGTGGAATCTAAATGTTTGTAAAAGGCAGGCCACTGGCGCCGCCATGTTGGACCGCGCGCGACCACCACGTGCTTTGCAAGGATGGTCTGCAGGCCGTCGCCGTTTCTAAGTGTCACCTTGATGCCGGAGCCACAGGGTTTCAGGGACTCGGCTTCAGCAGGCCAAAGCCGACGGTCCAAGCCCCCCAACTTCACGAGGTCCCTACAAAAGTCGACCATCATCTGGTTTGAGGGCAGCACAAAAGGGCCATGATACGTCCGGTTCTTGGGCAGGTTCTCCAAGAATAGGAAGTCCTGGCGCTTCTTGCTTTGTGCCCAAACAGACAGAGTGGAGTGGTCAAATGCATCGGGATGCATCATCTCGTGAGATCTCAGATAGGAGATGCCCAAGGCTTTGAACTGATTTCGCCACCTGAGATTTTTCCAAAGTTGCTTCCTTCTTTGTAATCTCTGAATAGAACAATCAGATTTGGCATTTTTCAGGGGGTGCATACCTGAAGGGTCAGGGACTTGATAAGTTCACCTGTGACCTACAAACCATAATGATTGCCCACTGTAGATTACCCTACCCTGCTACTTACTGAGTCCCCTCGAACCTCCATGTAGGGGACCCCAGGTAGCTTTAGGAAATGCCTGCCTCTCCATCCAGTTTCCGGTGCTGTCCACAACAGCAAAGTTGACGCCATGCGACTTGCGGGTCTTTTTCAGGTGATTGCGTACGTCTGGAGGACGCTTCACATAGCTTTCCTTGGCTGCGTCTTAAACCCTCAGCTGGTTTGAAAACATAGGGATGGGAGAAGATCACAGCAATACTGGTAATTAACCAAAGCCACCCAAAAACGTAAGCATGAAACCATAGAATTTGGGTACTGCCCCCACCCAGTAAGAGTCTATATTAGGGGTCCTATTAGGGGGCTATATATACCCATATTCTAAATATTATCCAACTGTTACTGGGTGGGGGCAGTACCCAACATAGAATCCCCTAAACCCTAAACCCTAAACCCATAAACCCTGAACCCTATACAGAATCATTAACACAACCACATGAAAACTCAACCTCCCAGATCGCAACCCGGCTTCCTGCGGGGGGATGACATCAGGCATGGCCTCCTGCCCCAGTATCCTGGGTTGCTGTTTAGGGTTTAGGGTTTAGGGTTTAGGGTTGCTGTTGAGGAACTGAACTTAAAGTCACTATATTAGGGAAACCCTATTAAATTATTATGGTAACTTAAACCCCAAACCCCAAAGCCTAAAACCTTTTCTCACAATATATATATATATATACACCCAATATTAGGCCCAATATGGCGATGTTTTTAATAGCAACCCAGTGTCAGCCGTGAGGCCATAGCCAGGCCATGGGGCCCGGCACCGATGATCCTGCCATTCGGACCCCAGGAAGTATGCTTTTATGAAGCATATGGGGGGTTTCTTAGACATACCTTGAAAGGGGGACACAGGGGTTATGTAGGGGTTACCGAGGGTTTAGGGTTTCCTAAAATTAGGGCTACCATTTGGGGGTTCCCGTAATAGTGATTACACGATTTTGGGGTCTATATTGGGGTCCCCCAATTCATATAATCTAGCACTCAGGAAGATAGGAAACTAGTCCAAGGTTTTCATAGAATACAAGGCTAAACGAGAGTTGAAGTGTAGTAAACACATTCTACGCCATCAAGCAGCAAAACATCAACATCATCCGGTAGAGGAGGCCGCTCTCGGATCTTCTTGGATGCCATAAGCACACAGGGCAGCGCCCCTGAGCCAGAGCCTTCAAATGGCAATGGAGAATCAAATTCAAAATAAAAGCTGGGATTACCCGGGGCTGTATCGAAGTTTAGAGTTTGTGCTCAGTTTTGGGTTTTTGGCTTTGGTGTTTAGCTTTTGAGGCCGTAGTGTTTAGGAGTCTAGGCTTGAGGGGTTTAGCCTACGGTCTAGGTCTAGGTTGAGGGCGTTGGGTAGTGGTACATGCTTAGGGTACCGGGTACATGTAATCAATCAACCACCTCAACACCAGCTCCCTGCCCTTAAGAACATTGTCCCTCAATTTGACGGTACTTTTTGCGGCCGTTCATGTTTGATGGGGTGCTTTACTATTCGGGGAAGGGATTGAGAAATGAATGCAAAAACAGATTGACAGGCCAACGTTCAGCAAAATGTCGGTAAAAGGGGAGGGGGAGGAGGAGAACTAGAAGCGATTTGATTTGCCAGATTTGCCTTCTCAATTGTCGTTTTCAACATCTCCTGACGTTTCGATTTCCACTCCCACGGGTTGAGGAAGTACTCCTGCCCAATAACTACCTCAAACGAGCCTGATAGCCTGTGAATTAGTCCTAGGAGGAATCCTCAAGCGGTAGGGATACATGTATGCTTCGCGGGGGCAATGGGTAGGATGCAAGGTGCCCATGGTGGGCCAGATTTTGCATTTTTTATTGGTGAATGCATGGCCTTTACTACACTAGAAGACCACAATGCTGGAGGTCTAAGCCAGAATACCATGACTCCCAAGGTATGAGCTACTTGGGGTCATGGAGTTTAGGGTTGAAGATCTAAGATTTATGGAGCATTTTGAGTATCAACCACCTTTTAGGATAAAGAGGTCACTGGGTCCAGGGCCACGGGAGCGACCCCCGGAGCCAGCGGTCGGGACCTTTGAAGGCTCTAGGGCACATAAAGCAGGTGCCTGCTACGTACGATTCATAGCATAATATACATAGTAGATTTGTAGATCAGTCTTGCTGATGACAGACAAGAGATCTCGCGTATGTTCTGCCTGTGGCTGGTACACCCTGCACATGTGGATGTAAAAATATTCTCTCAACCTCTCTCAGTGGACGCTAGGCCCTAGGTAAATGCTAGAGCTCTCTCGTTCTGCTTGTTCACTCTCAGACGTGTGACCACATGTGCGCACAAGGCCACGTCTGCCAGCATGAACTTGTGGCATACATCGAAGGTGGTACGAAAAAACATAGGTTGCTAAACGGGGCTTCGGCATTGCCATGCGAAAAACCTGGGCGTGCGATAAGAGACACGACTGGCAGGCAACGGAAGAGTCCTCTTGCAGTGGAAGCGCGGCACTTCTCCGCATGCTTGCAGGAGCCGTTCTTCTCGAACTCCCAGCATCGCTGTGTACCTGCTTTAGCAACGCGCTCAAAGTAAACATGACAGAAGACTTTCCCTGCCACATGGCAGTTTGAATGGTCGCACTGGCAGTGGCGTGATTAGCTGCGGCCTGTGCATCTCCAATGCCGGAATTGAATGTTCAAAACAAGGCAAAGAGATCACAAGAGCTGAGTACAGAGCGTTTTCTTTTGCCGTGCCCTGGGATCGCAAGCGAAGCTGTCACGAGGCTGAATCAACGGAAAGAAGTCACTCTTGATTGCAAAGCTTGTCACGCAGCGTCTCTGGGGAAGCCCGCAGCAAAACGGAACATATACAGAAGGATCTTCTCGTGAGTTGTAAAGGGCAAGCTAGGCAAGGAAAGCCAGATTGGAATCTTCCTGTTGGTCCCCAGCCTTGTCCTCCCACCAGTTGCCAGTTGCCGGCTCCTTCCACAAACTGCGCAGGGTAAGCATATTAATCGGATGCTACAACAACCCTGGAGTGGGCTCTTCTCTTCCCCAGCCTGTGATGACAGATGTTCCGCAAAAAAATCATGAAACGATTTCTCACATAACAAAGGAGATACAGCCAGGATGTGCGTAGCAAACTCGCATCCAGTTAGCTCCTTTGCTGGCTCCTCTTCCTTTCGCTCCCACATCTCCTTTGCACGACCTAGACTGCGCTGGGTATGGTGATGAGGGGGCCCAGGGTGATGGCGTTGTACCACAGGTATATAGGACCATAAGGGTATCATTGCCTACATCCTTCAGGATTCTACATATATGCAAGCCCACTGTACTATCCTAAAGTCCCATGACAGCCTCTGCGGAAAACTGCAGAAGCTTCACAGAGCTTCAGTCTGTGACTGCATGGCTCAGAAGCAGGCTTTGCTGGGTTGCTGTTAAGAAACTTAAATTAAGCTACTATATTGGGGAAACCCTATAATTTACCATATATATATATACCCATTATGGTGACTTAATTTAAGTTCCTTAACAGCAACCCAGTTTGGGTAGAGGCGTGGCTATAAAGATGTTTACGGTGAACAAGATACGGAAAAGCTCACAACTATGATGACCTAGCTGACAGGATCAGCCTCCTCTTCGTCTACAGTAGGCTATCAAGATGTTTTCCACGACATGAGCTATAGTCTCAAATCCTAGCATCCCCCTTCATAACCCGTATAGTCGCTCCCTCTATAATCCCCTCTGCAACCCCCCTTTAAGGAGTTTAGACTTTAGTACACATGAGGCAGAGATTTGCATCAAGCCAAAACTGGGACTGTAGCGTTTCCAGGAGCCATCCTGCCAGTGTTGATCCACTACTTGGAGGGTCATGAGGACTTACTAAGCAGGCTTATACCCCCTATAAGCCATACAATACCCGCAATTGCCCCCATTATTAACCTACTTACTAAGTCCCTATGACCCTCCAAGTGGGGATTCTTTTCACGGAGCCCTGCCTAGAAGCAAGCAGAACTGTTTGCAAGATTAGGGGTACCTTTCTGGGGAGTCCCTATGATAAGGGACTATAGTATGTAGGGAGTCTATCTTGGGGTCCCCCTATCTTGGGAAACTCCCTAAACCCTAAACCACCAACTCTTGCGATGACTACCAAAACTTCGTTAGGTCTGCAGCGGGTGCGCCTGCCAGGGATCCTGCTCTTGCGGCGGCTCGGCGGGCACCAGGCTCTGTCACAAGGGAGCCACTATAGTGTAGCATAATGATGTATAACGCACTGTACTGTACTGTAGTATATATAGCCTACTCTGATATACTATAATACACTACTATATAACAGAGTGTACTAGAATATGCTATAGTATGCAGCTTCGTGAATTTCGTGACAGGCAGCTCGAAGGGTTTGCACAGGAACAGAGCTCGACCAGCCTCCATTGGAACACGGCTAAGGTCCAGCAGAAAAGTCCAGATGTCATTTTCTGCAGACATGTCGTCCTGCGCTGAGTAGAGCTGCAACATGCACGGAGTTCGCTCAGACAGCAGGCTGTGAGATCCTGGGTTGGTCAACATTACGTCTAGCCACTCAAGACGTGTCCATGAACTCATGGTTATTGAGCAAACTTTGTATTTAAACAGACCCCTGTCTAATCTATTCCTTGGATAACCCTTTACTGTACAACCCCGCCACCAAACTTTGGGACCAGCTGTCCACGTTCAGCCACAAGGTCTCGTTGTTCGAGAGCAAGAACTCCAACTGCTTGCCATCCTGTCGCAGAACTGCCCAACATCGGAGTTGCATGGGGGTGAATAAGGATAAGTAAAGGGTTGCAGATTGAAAGCTACATGTAGGGCCTCTTATAGAGCTTATACTAGGTATGTTGCGTTGACTCCATGGTTGTTTGCTAAAGATGGTGAGCTCCTTCTCAGCGCTGATAGAGTCGCATCATGTTGGGAGGAAAACGCCAGCAGTTCTCAGTAACACCAGCAACCGGGGTTGAAAGGAGAACAAATGTTTGAATAAAATGTGCTGCGCAAAAACACAACTGGTGATGTTGAGTTGACGTCTAGATGGGGACTTCAGCCAGGGTTCCTGTAATTGACCAGCCTTGTGCTTGGCATCTCCGTTGTGCAATAAAAACATCGAAACAGTCAAAGTCTATCGCGGAATGTTGTCACCCGCCTCTTCCCACCTACAATTCAACACATCTGTTGCTTCGTCTAAAAATCAGTTGCTATCCTATGCCTTATCAGAGCTGGCAATGTGTAGGAAATTATACTGCACCCGAATATCCCAATTCCACTCGCTAACCCAGGCAAATGGCGGTTTCCCTAAATAAGGGGACTCCCAAATGATTATGGCCCTAATTTTGGGAAACCCCCAGTCTCGTAACACAAGACCTGCTATGACAAGGTAGGACTGCCCACTGCGAACACAACTCAACCGGAGAGCAGGCGGACTTGAGCCCAGCTCATGTTCGCAGCATCCGCATCAACAGCGGGCTTGAACCGTTAGTCAACGGCAAGCGTCATACCCGAAATACGCTTCCGGCACCCGATCCAGTCTTGATGCCAGCAAGCAGGCGTTTAAAGGGCGATGGGCAGGAGTGGACCACACGAGTTTATGCAGCTTGTGTGACTATTGTTTACCACGGCTGCAAGGCGGATGCTTCTGGCAAATTACGTCCATATTGCAGGAATGTGGCCACTATGCATTTTGAGTAGCCCCCTGTTCCGACAGCTCGGGTCTCAGCATTAGGGGCTAGGATTTAAATTGACAGTATTGGCTAAGACTTGACAATAGGCACTCCCAAAAAACGAGCCCCAAACTCGCAAACAAAAGACAGTGGGTAAGGAAGCTTTCGGCTTGTTCTTGTGATCTGACCTTCTGCATGTCACGCGCGAACCGAAGCCTCAGCTGGCACCCCTCCAGCTCGTCATCAAAGAAAAATTCACCACCGCCCAGCTTTGTGTAAACTACCATGACTCCTCCCCCCTAGAATACTTGGCGCGCGCGTTCAGTGCCAGCAGCCCGCGAGAAGTCACAACTCCCGAAGTACACGCGCCATTTGCAGCAACTAACTTCACAGCGATGTAACCCCACTTGTCACACGCCCTGCAGCGCCTTTCGGACAACCCATGTAGACCAGTGCAAACACGAGCTTGCTGTCTGCTGAACCCAGAACATATATGCTGTGTTGGAATGTGCTGGACATGCGCCCAACGCCATGTGCACGCTGTTTCACTCGCCTTGCAGAGCACAACTACAAATCCATCACAAATGATTGTTGGGCCATCACCTGCCGAACATTTCAGGTCAACGCTCCCATCGCCTTTGTGCTCCCATCACGTTTGGAATACCTTGCAAGGGTAAAACTAAGGCCGCAAATAGCTCAATGTAGGTATTCGTTATAGATTTTAGGGCCCAATGTATAGGCATGTTTTGTATACTTGGATCCTTAGGCACAATTTTCGGGATGCACCCTCTCTGGGCGTGGGTCACACAGCGCGCGGGGCGCGCGTAATGTGGAGAAATTTCTAGCCCATGCAGCCAAGGTTTCAGTCACAGCTTCTTTCGATTAATCCACCTCCTCTCTATCTTAGGTGGACCCCCCACCCAGTAATAGTGACTCTAGGGGGATAATAGGGATCATAGGGGTCCTCTTGAATTCCTGTTATACCACTATTACAGGGTGGGGGGTCCTCCTAATCTCTATCATGCACCATAACACGGCCCCAATGGTGTCAACCTGACTGACAGTTCCCATGGCTGTCCCGGATCGTGGCTGTCACGTGCCACGGTGCGACTTTTACAAGGTGATGCCACTTAAGTTGACTACCTAGCATGCCTACTTGGGTCGTATTCATATTCTACCAGAACATGCGGATGATGCAGGGATATCGTGGGCATTGATTTTGCGGAACGCCCTGGTGCGCCTCCGTGCTCCAGGATGTCGCGGGCAATGACCTTCACTACCACAAGGAGGTAGGGAAAAGGCAGCTGAGTTGGTTTTGTTTTGCCGGATGTTGATCAGAGCCAACAGTGTGAGTCATTGGATGGTAAATGGTTGCTTTCCTGATGGAGGCCAGCTTCGGGTGAGGCTTGCAGATGCGCAGTTGATTGTGCAGAGTGCAGATGCTGTATTTGCGTGTCCAGTGTTTTTGGGACTCCTGACCTAATGCTCTGGAAGTGCAATGCGTCGAAGGCGGCTGGAACAGCTGAATGCTGTTATTCGGATTCCACTGCTTGGGGAAGCGATGGGAAGTCCCTTACTCAGAAAGGCGTGCTGGGCAGAAGTTTGCCTTCCAAGCACGGGTCCGTGTCCAAGGCATCACAATCCAAAACGCCTGCCATGCCAGCGAACATCGCCTTGCGCTCCATGTCTACGCAAGCGCAATGCGCCTACGTATGGCTAAGGTGCCTCATGGCACCTCAACACCGACCAGGATGCAATCACAGCGGCAACACCAACGGTACACAACCGGCTTCACAGCACGCAGTCATCATCAAGCCACCTGCCCATGAAAAGCATCAGCAAGGCAACCGTTCGCGGCAGCGTTGCTTGCAAGGATATCTGGTCTGACCACGACAATGGTGTGGGCTTTCAGCAATCATCTTGTCCGTCAGGGGTTGTTAATTTCAACGGCCCCGCCATGACTGCAAACATTTTTCGTTTCGTCAACATGCGCATTCCCCTCGGCAACATTGTTTCTGTGGCATCTATGAACATGGGACAGAGGACACCCAGCGTTTGCCTGTTGTTTGTCGGAGACTGTCATGATCAGATGGTCATTCCAGTAGCTTTTGTGTTTGCTTTTCAGATTTCCCTAACTGGCACACATGAAGATGGTGAGACGCAGATTTGACACAGGGCGTTTGCTGGTGATGTAATTGTTAGAACTTGAGTGGTTCTGTTTAATTGATTCATCTGGCTGCAAGAGTTGCGCATGGAATTTGATGTCCTGATGTTGCCGCCTATCTGACCCTTCGTGCGGCTCCAATCAAATCGCTTTCTCGTATTCCCCAGGTGCTGATTGTTGTTCGCCGGAAAATCCGTCTCGTCCGCAAATCATTCAAAACATATATCAGCTAGGCTCACGGATAGCGCAGCAAGAGCACATGATCTCAAAGCTGGGTCAGAGCATGTGCGGGAGCGGCCCCTTTCGCTGAACAGCTGGGTTGCTGGTAGAGATCTTAATTCAAGTTACCATTCTAGGCTAGGGAAACCGCTTTACGTACGATGCATCCATACTATGATAGTTTAGTGTAAATTCCTCAACAACAACCCAGAAAAAACTTGGCACAGCAGCAAGCAGACTAGCCTTGTACACGGACTTCAGCCGAGTGGAGCTCAAGAGCCCCAGCATTCGGGCGCGTTCTGACCTTTGACTAATATGGAGTTTGATGGGGATTATATGGGGATTGGATTCCCTCATGCCCTACTAACCACGAGTAAGTTGAGCCACGGCCCGCCGAACAAGACAACTTGGTGCCTCATGGGGGGCCGTACTATTAAAGATTGTAGCTTCATCTTCCTTATTGGGTTTAGTAAATAAACCGTCTGTTTCACTCCGTAATCCTGCTTGCGGTGGACCCCCATCCTCAAGCTCATGATTGGAGCTTGGGGCTGCAGCCACCGCACCAAGGCGCCAGTCAGCATATGGACGTCTTCTTTGCAGAAAGACTGGGCAAGAGGTCTAAGGTTTTCGGGTTCGGGGCTGGGGGAATTAGATCCCACGGGAACTGAAAGGTCGCGTTTCTGCAGGTCATCACCCCTGGTGGTGTGGATGTTGTGTTTCAATGGCCTCCCAGGCCCTCAAAAGCAGGCAGACAGCTGCAGACGTGAAATGCTGTTACTAACGAGATTTGATCATCCTCCTCAAGATGGTCTACCGAGCCGAATTCATTGGTTCAGAAAAGGGCAAATTGGATTCCAACCTGACCCCGCATCAAACCCGCCTCAATTGCAAATTCAAATCGCCATACGGTTTTGAGCTAAGGTCTAGGTTGGTTTTCGTCCACATCAATTCGAAAGTGAGCCGGAAACACACACCAGTTCGATCGCTTCTCCGCGGCCCATTTCCAACATAAAACAAGTTATTGTCTTACAGGTTACATGTGGGGAATTGCTCCTGGATAGCTCGGGAATCCATATGCAGACCCTATTCCTGTTGCACGGCCCCGAAAAGAACTCCAGATTTTGAGAACCTGAAACAATGCCAGCCCTGGATGACCCATACGTGATCCTGCCCAGGCCCTAAAACCCAAATCCCGAAACCCCAAGCTCCGATCCCAAATCCTCAACCCCCAATTTCCCTAATCTAAGCCGCAAATCCCACATCCCTAACCCCCAACGTCCCTAATCTAAACCGCTTCTAGATCTTCAGGATAAGTCCGAAGGCCTCCAGGCCAGAAGTTCCTGCGTTGTTCCACGCAAACTCCTGCCAGCAGCACCCCTTGGCCCCTAAAAAGATCAAAAATGGATAAGGCTTAGGACTTAGGACTCGGGTGTGTATAGGGTTCGGGGGTGGATGCGTGGATGGATGTATTGATGTCGATGTGGGTTTGCCAAATGAAGGTCTTTTTAAGGAAGATCTCACATTAGGGTCTTAACTAGAGACTATTTGAAAGTAGGTGGTTGGTGTTATTCCAATTGAAAGCCTTATTAAAGACGATTTCTAATTAGGGCTTTACTAGAGGCTATTCCCAGGTAGGGCCTTATCAGGGATTGTTGCAAATTGCGGCTTTATTAGGGACTCTTCCAAATTAAGGCCTCATTACTTCCAAAGGGGGTTAGGGAACCTCAAGGGCACAACAATCTGGGAGGCACGGGCTCGAAGAACGCGGTCGGAGCTGAGAGCAAACTTCAGGCTAGTGTAAAGGTTTTAGGCATTTGATCATTATGGACCGTAATCCATACGTATTCCCCATGACGTCCTACAAATTCTTTCTTTTTTAGGGACCCTAAATCCTATTATAGTTTTGAGTTTCTCCACCGTTATCCCAATTCATCCCGATACTGTTGTAGGGCCCCTAAATTTTCCCAGTGCAATTTAGACCGGAGAGCCGCTTGTGCTTTGCTAGGTATTTCTCCCAGCCATGTGAAGTAAGATCCAAGCTAGGGTTACCAGGAGGCCATCAAATGTTTAGGGTTAAGGGTTTAGTGTTACACCACTAACGGTTTAGGGTTAAGGATTCAGTGTTACCAAAAGATCATTACGGTTTAGGGTTACCAACGGACCATTAAGGGTTAACGCTAGGGTTAAGTTGAGGGTCTAGGCTTGCCAACGGACCGTTAACCGTGGGCACAGGGGCTTAGGGCTTCAAGTTTAAGGGTCAGGGCTTTGGGGGAAACTTTGCGGCCTAAGCACTGACTGACCTTCCCATGCAACTTAACTCACACACAAAAGCGCACTTATTGCTTGCCTACAGGACCTCCGACCTACCCTCAACCTCAACAACCGACCCTAGCCCCCGCAGCTCACTTTTGCTCGATGCCCCAGGCGACCTCGGATCCATTGCCCAGAACAGCGCAAAATGCGCATTCCCTGCTTGAAACCTGCTGCACATTCCGCAGCTGTGCCTGTACAACACTGCTGTCGCCACCCTCCAAGCCACATCCCCATGTCACCACGCTTCCATTGGCAAGGATGGCTGCAAAAGCGCTGCTGTTCGATTGGCTTCACTCCACGCTTTTGATCTGGTGCTGTACGCTGCTGCTGTCGCCACCGGAACCAGGAAACCCCCAGGTAACCACGGAGCCATCGGCAGTGATGGCTGCAAGCGCCGTGGACGTGCGTCACACACCATTGCTTTTCTCGCAAGGCGCTGCAGTCACCCGGTCAGCACCGCTCCAGGCCACCACGGAGGCATTGACGAGGATGGCAGCGAAAGCTCCGCCTGGCTTTGCGTGACGTCTCTTAGCTGATCGCGCACATAACGGCTGTCTCCACCATAAGCAGCATCGCCCCAGGTCACAACGGAGCCATTGGCAAGATGGCTGTAAACGCCCTGTCAGTGGCTTGAATGGGCCGCGCATGCCGCAGCTGGTCTTGCACTGCCCCGTTGTCTCCACCATAATCGGCACGGCCCCAAGCTACCACGGAGCCACTCGCGAGGATGGCTGCAAAAGCCCTTGCCACACATGCCACAGCTGGTCTTGCACAGCCCTGCTGTCTCACGGCCCCAGGCTACCATGGTGGCAGCATGAGAGTAGCCATCAATAGTTGCCACGGACATGTTCTCGCTAGAAGTACGCAAGGGCAAATAATACGAGCCAAAGGCCACCTCCACACATGCGTGAAGTTTATACACAAATGCACTACCGGCCACCGACCCCCCCGAGCCACGACACAAGAACCCAAGCCACCAAACCGCGCAGCACACGCAAAACACTTGATAGGCAGCCTAGGGTAACCAGGGGTAGGGAGCACGGGGACCTAAGCCAAAAACCCCTAAGCCAGCCCGCAAACACTACGATCCCCCGGCCAACAACGCACGAAGAAGGCGTCAAAGGGTCTAACCTGGGCGGGGCAGAAGCGGGTAGGGAGGAAAAGAGAAACGCAGGGCAGCTTAAGGGAACAACAACAGGCGCACAACACTTAAGGAGGGGAGCCTACAAAGTTAGGGGCACAGGGACACTTGCAGAACGTTCTAAGGGCGGCGCGCGAGGAAGAGGACGAAGTCGACGAAGAACCTGGCAATAGGGCTTAAACGGGTAAAGCAAGAAAAGAGACATGCAGGGCAGCCTACAAGACCCCCCTAAAAATGGGAACCCCAAACCCCATGCAACCCCCAAACCCCAAACCCCAACCCCAACAACAGGCGGGGTTAGGGGTGCAGGGGCACATGCAGAACGCTCTAAGGGCGGCGCGCGAGGAAGAGGACGAAGTCGAGGAAGAACCTGGCCACAGGGGTAGGGACAGGCAAGCTCCAGGCGCGCAGGGGCACTTAACAGAGTGCTCTCAGGGCAACGCGCGAGGAAGAGGACGAAGTCGACAAAGAACCGACAGCAGGGAAAAGAAAGACGCAGGGCAGCCTAAGGGAACCCCCTCGAAAAGGACCCCAAACCCCAACCCCCAACTACAGGCGACAACACTTAAGAAGGGGAGCCTACAAAGTTAGGGGCAGGAGCATTTGCAGAGCGCTCCAAGGGCGGCGCGCGAGAAAGAGGACGAAGTCGACGAAGAACCTGGAGGGGCAGGGATATGGCAGGGACAAGCAAGGAAAAGAGAGACAGGGCAGCCTAAACCCCCTAAAAACGGGAACCCCAAACCCCAACCCCCAAACCCGAACCACAGGCACGCAACACTTAAGGAGGGGAGCCCACAAAGTTAGGGGCGCAGGGGCACTTGCAGAACGCTCTAAGGGCAGCGAGCGAGGAAGAGGACGCAGTCAACGAAGAACCTGGCGGGGCAGGGGTGTACAGGCAAGGAAAAAGAGAGATGCGGGACAAACCCCAACCCCCATACCCCAACAACAGGCACGCAACACTTAAGGAGGGGAGGGGCACTTGCAGCGCGAAGTCGACGAAGAACATGGCGGGGCAGGGGTGGGGCAGTGGCGGGGCGCGGGCAAGAGGACGAAGTCGACGAAGAACCTGGCGGGGCGGCGGGTAGGGAAAGGAAAAAAGAGACGCAGGGCAGCCTAAGCAAACCCCCTACACACGGGAGCCCCAAACCCCAACCCCCAAACCCCACAACTACAGGTGCACAACACTTAAGGAGGGGAGCCTACAAAGTTAGGGGCAGGAGCACTTGCAGAACGCTCTAAGGGCAGCGAGGGAGGAAGAGGACAAAGTCGACGAAGAACCTGGCAGGGCAGGGGTAGGGCAGGGACAGGCAGGAAAAAGAGAGACGCAGGGCAGCCTAAGGCCAACCCCAACAACAGGCGCACAACACTTAAGGAGGGGAGCCTACAAAGTTAGGGGCACAGGGACACTTGCAGAGTGCTCTAAGGGCTGCGCGCGCGAGGAAGAGGACGAAGTCGACGACGAACCTGGCAGGAGGGCAAAAACGGGTGGGGACAAGCAAGAAAAGAGACACGCAGACCAGCCTGCAAGACCCCCCTCAAAACGCGAGCCCGAAACCCCAACCCCCAAACCCCAACTACAGGCGCGCAACACTTAAGGAGGGGAGCCTACAAAGTTAGGGGCACAAGGGCACTTGCAGAACGCTCTAAGGGCGGCGCGCGAGGAAGAGGACGAAGTCGACGAAGAACCTGGCGGGGCAGGGGTAGGGCAGGGACAAGCAGGAAAAAGAGAGACGCAAGCCAGCCTCAGGCAAACCCCAACAACAGGCGCACAACACTTAAGGAGGGGAGCCTACAAAGTTAAGGGCACACGGGCACTTGCAGAACGCTCTAAGGGCGGCGCGCGAGGAAGAGGACGAAGTCGATGCTAGCGCTTGGTTTTGCGGTTAGCCCCTCACAGGCCCCGCATGCTACCCCCACAATAGCACAACAAGTCAAGTTTCCACGCCAACAACGTCAGAACGTCCGGGGTTAGAAGGTGAGAATTGGCGTATATCTGCCGGGATAGAAGTTTAAGAACGCATATCTATGTGGCCTGTTAGCTGAGCCAACTACTCAGCTTGGGCCTATTCAAATGTAGAAATATGGTCACATGGCTCCAACGCCTGAGTCAGGAAAGGCGGGCACCAGGCACCTCTTCTGGCCCAAACCCCCTTTTTCGGGCCGAGCCCCAGCAACGTCACCCTTTGGGATCACTCTCGTTGGCAGAGAATCCTTTGCCTGGGCGCACGATATGGCTCAGCATCAAGTACTGCGCAGACACCTTTGCTACGCATTTACGCCTCTACAGAGATGCCGGCGACGTCTGCACATCCGTGCATGACAATTAAGTAAGGGATGCAGAGGAGCGATGCGGGGATGATGTGGGATTTCGGGGTGGTTCTTTTGGAATACCCCTCAGCCGAGGAACTTTCCAGAATTCCAGAATCCAATCTACTTTCCCTTCTCGAGCCTTGTAAAGCCATACAGACAATACACATTCAACAAAGACATGCTGTGAAAAACTCTTCACATGGCCCACCCATCTTCGTGCGACGCTGGCCTAGTCGCAGTGTTACAACAAATGGGACTGTCCATAGGGTGGACCAGCACCCACACGCATGCCCTTGCATCCTTATTAACCAGAACGCTGCGCATGCATGCAGTGGTTTCCCGTACTTGCAAACAAGGCTCTTGAATTTAGATAAGTGTATATCCATGCCAGCAACAGGTGGGAGCAGTACCTGAGACATGCCCCTTTGCCCGCGCCTTGGCCGCTTCCATGTTTTCCAGCCCCGTGAGCTGGCGAAGAAAAATCCACAGATCCTGCTGCGCCATGGGGCCAAACGTTTAAACCTTTCGTTCACAGGCTTTTAGTAGATTCGGGCCAGAAATTGCTCAAGGTAAGTCATTCCTAGCTTCGCCATAGGTTTTGATCATAACAATTGTGCTATTGTATTGTGATCAAAAAAGGTGGTGGAAGCGCGGGGACTGTGAGTGAGTAGGAGAAGAACTCTGGCAGTTCTAGCGCTTGTCCAGCCGAACCGCCCGCAATGACCCTATCTAGGACCAGTGTGGTCCTTGAAAAGAGTACTCGCACAAAACTTCTTGATGTCATGAATGATGATCCTCTCATCGTTTTGCAGGATCATCATTACGGGAACAACATCGTACTCGTAACCAACGTCCTCCAAGTCAACTAGGATTTCGGCTACAATTCCAAAGACCGACGCTACGCGGGGGCGCATCACATGCTCGTAGAAATTAATTGAGGAAGGACTTGGTTATTTGGGTTTTGCGCAAAGAGCGTCGAGACAATGCTCGGGGATATCTGCAAAGGCCGATGCCGCAAAACAACACATAGAAATGACTGCCTATGAACCTCCAAGTGGTTTGCATTTTTTGTCAAATGCCTGGACTAAGTATATAACCCCTATATAAGCCCCAATATATACCCCAGTACCCTAGTATAATATCATATTTTGCATTTTATTTTCCGTTATCCCAACATAACCCCCTTATAAAGCCCCAAAGTGGGGTGTGGTAAAGACTACCGGCCTCCTCTTCCTTGGCGTCATGCAAGCCAAGGTGTAGGCGTTCTGAGATGCAAGGACACTGGGGAGCTTCTCCAAAATAGTCCAAGTATAGTCCCACAATGGGAAGGGCCCTGATAAATCCCCTCATCGTTCCCTCCCTCCTTCCAGTGTACAATGACTTGGGCCTGTTTTTAAGAGGTTCAGAGGCACACGTTAAGTTGAAAGTTGACAGCACGCGGCAGCAGCAAGACAAAGGAATTCCGATGGAGGCTTCGGGTAAGATAATTTTGACAACCCCAGTATGATGCTGTAAAAGGTTTTGAGGTATATACATATAGGCCACATTTAAGACCCCAACTTGAAAATGCGCTATCTTAGGACCAAAGAATGGAATCAGAGCAGCCGAACGGAGGTCTCCGGGGCCGCTACCGCCCGTCTCCGGGAAGTACCACTCATAGGATCTCTTTTCCGGAGGCGCCTGGGGTGGTTTTAAAAGTTTGGGAATTATGCCATTTGGGACTCAGGATCGGGAAGCTGGAAGTGACGGAATCCTCTTGCTTCGTATGTTCGTGCTTGTTACGTGATTGCAAGTGGAAGTCATGTTGCTAATGCGCAGGTAGCCCTCAGAAATCTTCCTATCCTTGCAAAATGCCCAGGAGCATTGGATTGACCACGAATATGCTTCCCAGTCCGTAGCTTAGCGAACCCTGGCATTCGTGTATGGACTGTTGGGCGTTGCTTGGCAATAATCTACTGCATCGGAGCGTGGGGAAAAAGTTCTCCAGCTGGACCAGAGTCCATCACAGCAAGGAGTGAGCTGAATGAACAGTGGTCTGACTTGTAACAGTAACAATAACAATAACAATACAAGCAATATGATTGTACTTATGACCGTACCACACAAGCATGATGCCTCCGGTTTGTACTTCTGCGTCCACTGCGAACAGACTGGCGACCTGCAGCCAGGAGGAAACATAGAGTCTGTGGAATGACCAGGGCAGCGAAGACTTCTTCGTGGCACTTCAGCTTGCTGACAGAGATGCGTGGGGTGGAATAACGACTGGGGGTTCAAGACCGCGAGGATGGGGCGGGGTAAACAGCAACCATTCCAACAGGTTTTGGCCGCACTTTTGCATGGCCCAGTGTGCAAGTCTTGCTAAATGCTGCTGAGAGGCGTCACTTTGATCCCGTTCGCCCTGGCCTGGCTTTTTACAACCGGGGGATGGTGGAGCAGAAGGCAGAAGGTAGCAGAAGGAATGTAGGAAGGGGAAACCGGAGGCATTAAATCGAGGAAGATTGACTTTTGGTATTTGGCTTGGGTTTATCTACGGACGATTAATGCAGACCGTACTTTCTGCGACATAGAGATGGTGAATCTTACAGAGGCTTACGAGGTCCTTGCCTTCTGCCCAGACGAACACCGTCTAGGACTTTCTGAGAATTCCAAGCCCGCGAAATGTCCTTTCAATTCTTCTCATTGTCAGAACGAGGAACCTTTACAATTTTGGCACCGTACACTTAGGTAGGGGTTAACCGTTGAACCCTTTTAGCCTCATGAAGCTCTACATTATCATTATTAGCTCCTTAAATTCTGGGGTTTACCTTTGGGGAGGCTAGTATGATAATCCCTTGCATAGGGGCTTTCCGGAAATTAAAAGGCCGCCTAGATGCGCCAGATCAATGATAAGATCCTTATGTAGATGGCTAGACACTAAGCGCCAGACCCTAAGCCCAAGCCTGTAGACCGCGCGATAATGAATCATGTCTTCTTCTGTTACCACTACCACTACCGCTACCACTACTCCTACCGCCGCAGCAGCAGCATAGACGTTTACCATCTCAAGTTGACGCAACCTAGCATCTTCAGCGCACAGTTACTCAAAGCAGCATGCTACAATGTTCTCGAACAGCACTCCAGGTGGCCTTCTGGGAAAATCGGATGTAAAAAGAGTTGATGAGCAGCGTCTCCTTTTCAGCTCAACAGGCTCCACGAATTCATGTTGAAGACCATCTGCAGGCTTTGAACATGCCATCTGTACCCAGCAAAGGCCCTACATCTCGAAAGCAGCTGAAAAGCAGGTCTCAATGAACCATAATCTAAATTCCTGGTATCCGCCTTAAGAACCCCAAAAATATCCCCCTATAGAATCCCCTATAAAGGGAGTTTCGACTCTAGCTCACGTAGGCCTCTGGTTCCAGAATCCGCGGGCATTTCCCTCTGTAGCGCCTCACAGCAGCCACAGTCAAGCACCATTTACTGTTCTATCATTGTCATTATTGGTATTACCGTTACTATTGTTATGAGTATTATAGAAGCGTATCAGTTGACTTTCAGGTTACTATTTGGTGGAACGAGGATGGCACACGTCTCGTATCCTCTCCACGAAGTCCATCTTGGTGAAGATGGTCCTGCAGCTTGTATGCCCAGCACCCTTCCTCAAGAAATCGAGCTGGGCCAAGGGATTGTAAAAGGCTGATTGGGATTTATGAGGCTTCAGATTATAGAACCTACTGTAGGAACATAATATTGGCAATTACCCCTCTACACCCCTGTAGAATCCTAAGGTTCATCTCATTTACAATTTTCTTGTCCGTTTGATTCTCCATTACAGGCATACTATATCCCTACATACCCCATATAATATATCTTATTATAATACAGTAGTTTCCAGTGTCCTTTCCTTATATACCTGTTTCTAAGAGACTCCCAGCGGATGCCAAGGCTCCTGAACGTCACTGCGTTCATCGTTGCCGGCACCGGATCTGGATTTGGATCCTGTCCCGTTACAGTCATTGCGAGTGTGCTGGCCTCTCTCTTTGCCAGCCAGCACATGAGGGTTTCGCAAAAGTTGGGGTTGGGGGTCCCTATAACAAGGACTATAGGATTTGGGTGTCTAGGTTGGGGTCCCTCTATTTAGCAAAACTACCACATCAAGCCTCCATGGCATGACCCACGCACTCCACCTACCCATGAGTCCCATCCATTTGTTTGCAGTTTGGACTCGTGAAAAGGGGCTACAACTTCAGCCCAGCATCGCACCGGTCCTCCAAAGTTTCCTGTGCAGCAGCAACAGGCAGGGAATCTTCAGATTTGGCGGCGATGGCTACTGCGCAACCCTCGGCAAGCGTACGTAATGATAGGGAAAGCGTGAGGATAGATGGTTCTTGCCTCACATGGCCATGAATATAAAGGTGTTTGTGCTAGTATTCGCCGGTTTAGATGAAAGCACTCAAAAACGTGGACCCACTTTGGGGGAGGTTCTGTGTGACCAGGGCTAATGATCTTGGGGGTTGGACAGTGAAATGCATGCAGCACGAGGCGTTCATGGAGCCGCATTTTTCTTGGCAGGGAGAGTCTGCTCCGCTGTCACATGCCATCAGCTTCGACAATGCCAGCCACACTGGGTCCTGTGTGGAGATTCAAGGGCCGGATTGCGCGGTCAGAAGTCTAGTACTGGAAATCTCGATCAGAAAACTGGGAGTGAGGACTGCCTAGTTTCAGGGTTTACTCTGAATGTCATAATCATGCCATCGACTAGTAGGTTCCATTTGTTCATTTCCTGACTGACGGTTGTAGGGAAAAAGGGGAATAGAATCCCTATTTCACTGAAACATATTCCCTTCTTCCCTACCAAATCCCAGAAAGTGTCATATGACATATTCCCCTTATTCCCTACCAAACCCTCCTGTAAGTTTCTGGTCCTCGTCATCCGAGTCCGAGCTGAGATCATCAAGCTGATGGCTGTCACCGTAGTCGAAGCAAAGCTCTTCTCCGGCCTGTATCCACAACCATGTGAGCTATGGTCTCAGTTCTTAAAGGGGGTTATGTAGGGATTATATCTTAGGGAGTATTGTGGAGTTATTAAGGGGGATACTAGGCATTTAGACTTTAGCTCATGTAGAGATAACCATGTGGAGGGTTGTCAAGATGATGGTCCCTATTATTTGTGTAGTCAAATTTGAAGGACAGCCTTGTACTAGGGACTCCACAGGGAACGGCGTTTTGACAGCCTACCATGTGAACGGCCATGGTGCCTCTGGTGCTAGTAAATGCAGGCAGGGCAGCAGTGTCTCCACGAGTAAGAATGGATACGATTATGAGAGGCTGTGCTACAGTAATAACGCTAACCCTAAGCCCTATATAACCACTATATAGCCCCTATATAAACCTGTTATCCCCTTGAAAGGTACCCCTAAGCCCTTGCCGGCCTCTATGTCTCGAGCTGCAAGCAGCTGCACAGCGTGTGGGCCAAGGCCCTGCGAGGGGTCGATGCGGACCCTCAGGTTCCTGACTCTGGCTTCCAGCGTAGGGTCCAAGGTTTCAGCATTATTTTTAAGGGTTTACGGTTTAGGGTTTGGCGTTGAGGGTTTCAGGTTTAGGGTCTAAGGTTTAGGGTTTGGGGGTTCAGGGTCAGGGTGTTGATGCGGGATTTCAGGGCGCTGGAGGTTTTCAGCTGCTTGAAACAGACTCGTATCCAAGCCCCAATCCAAACTATTGGCCATACCGTTGATACTAAAGACCCTGCAGGACCCTAGTATAAGTACGCAGCAGCAAAATTTCCGAGGTTTATGGTACTAAGGGTCGGGTAGGCTTTTTAGTATCCACCGCAACTGGCCAAAGCCGAGCTGATTCGCTGTCGAGAGGCGGGCTTAAGGCGCATCCCGATACATCCAGACAACCTGGCCAATGCAGGTTTAGGGCTTAGGGGTTGAGATTGGCTTGAGGGAGTTCAGGTTTCAGGTTTAGGGATTTGGGTTTGGGGTCCACGGATGTAGGGATTCTGGATTTGAGGTTCACTGATGTAGGGTTTAGGGACTTAGGAATTCAGAGTTTAAGAAGGATTGGGATTTTGGGATGTAGGGATTGGGGCTTAGGGATGCTTGGATTAAGGTTTGGGGATTAAGGATTAGGTTTTGAATCCCCTGGCCCCAATGTCAAACCCACCTCCCAGCATTTAAACTGATCCAGTAGATACACGGCCACTGTGATATGAAGCATGAGGGGGAGCTTCATATTGTCAAACGAGAAGTAATGATTCAAATGGCTGTCTGTTTGGGGTTACATATTAATCCCAACAATAGAAAGAATTTCTCCGAAAACTGAGTAATTGTTCCGGACACGCACCCTTTATGCCGCCCTCGCCGAGACAGCAATCGTGCTAACGTTAAATTCGAATGGGACGTTGGGGGACATCAGGCGGTAGTTTCCCTCAATAGGGGGGCCCCAAATTAACGACCCCCAAAGGATCTAAACTTTACATTGGGAACTCCAAAAAGGTACCCCTAAGCTTGGGAAACCACCATACTGGCATCATGGAACACCTGCTTTCCGGGAAAGCTCGTGGCAATGCAAGACTCATAAAGTCATAATTTCTACCATCGCTGCGAATTTCATGTCTTGATTACATTCTTTGTTGGCGCTGGCACTGCCATGGCGAACATCTTTTGTGTTGCCCCCTCTTCTTGTCCAATAGAGGAGGTAAACAAATTTGAGCATGAAAGAGGTGACCTCTTGTAAGCCTGCAAAAAAGCCAGCCATGCAGTGTCTTCTATCCAATATATTCCATCCCAGGTCTTGCTCCTGAGTGTTTGATAGGCGCCGCGGACCAACTTGTCAGGGCGCGCGGAAGCTCGCTGAAGGAACCATCTGAAATCTCTGCAAACATAATATCCAACGCATGCGAGAAGACTGTATAGTAGAAGTAAATGATGGTGGTGAAAATGACGAGAAAAATGTTAAATGATCTCTGCTTACCCAGGCCCACGCAGCTATCAATCCAAAGACCGTATTGGTCCATCTTATCAGCACAGCGACTCATTTTTTGCAGTCCCGCGCTATGCACGACAAATGATACACACATGCTTGAACTCGCCCTTCTCCACCAAGGAAAGGTGATCGCCACATCCTGCTGCAAGGAGCTGCTCCGCTCGCGCACGGCCCAGGATTTCTCCAGTGAACCTCTCACCTGATGAATAGCCCCTGTGGCTCCATTCAATTGAGCCTGCTGAGATGCGATGCGCTCCTGTTAACATGGAGCAATGAGTGGCTGCGATTCGCCCTTGAGCGGACTTCGAGGATCGGCTAAGCCGTAAAGTATTTCAAGCCGTTTCTTCGCTTCCCGCAACACCTTCCTCTGATAAATGTATAGTTCCCCTCCAGCTCGAACTTCATGACTTCTGACGCTTCACCACTTCACGTCAACGTCAAATGCTGCAACACACTGTCGCGGTGAACCATCTGCGACTGCATTGGCTGCTCAACATGGAAAATATTCGCTGGGTCATTGCCTGGGAGATGATGCTGGGCGTGTATGGTACACGGCCCCAAATCGGGGTCAGAGAGGCAGCACTGAGCCAAAAAGTGAAAGTCCAACGACAAGTGCAGCATTGCTTGCAGATTTCTACTTGCAATACCGCGGGCTATGATAGAGTCGAACAACGCAATGTTGAAAGCAATGAAGCACACGAGCAAAGCTGCAACAGAATTGCGGAACACACACCGCCTGCCCAGCAGAAAATTCAAAATTTGCGGTTTGTGGAAAGACAGCCCCATATACCTGTTCTTGTTCGGCATGGCAAGCTCAATCGGAAATATCCCGTTGCGGTCCGGGACGGCCAGAAACTTTTAGGAGCTCGTGGCTTTTCGCGGTTGCCCAGGGGCTTGTTGTCATGCCAGCACGTTCTCGGTGGACGATGCTTGCAGATCAACAGCTGCGCAGTCCTCTCGTTCCTATTGCCACATGCCGATAAGGCAGTTCGTCCATCCACATCTTGCTCTTCCACACGGACAACCTGCACACACCCCGCTTCCAGATAGGAGAGTTGTCTCCTTTCGCAGCCGCGATGAAACGGGTGTGCCAGTCCATGTCGTGCGGATAAAGCAAAGCTGGATTGGCCTGTGTCATTGCGTTCAGACCAGCTGCACAGGCGGACTTCGCGGAAAATGTACTGGAGATCTCCAGAGTTGTTGAGAATGTCGGGGCACGCTCGCATCTGATGCACTTGCTTGAGCAGAGTGTCCAGCATGAAATACTCACATACCATCCCCCCTTCAAAGAATCTCTTGAGCCTGGGTGGCGGCCTCAGCACAGTGGGGTGAGGAGGTCTGTGATGCAGATGACCACGATCTCCCAGAAGGTCTTCTCATCCTCGATCGCCAGGATTGGTGGTTTATCGTGCACCAGAGGCCGCTCCCTGTCGCAAGCACCACTGCGGTGTTCAGGTCGAAAAGGAAGGCTTCAGCGGAGAATGTCATAGCTTCGACTTTCGAGGGCTGAAAAACCACAAATCTTCAGGAGGGGCAGGCATGTTGCATGCACGCCAGCATAACAAATTGCCGACGTGTGAAGCTGTAGTCACGTTTGCTTCAATTAGTTGGTCGACTTTCTCCCTGCAAGTTCCTTTGCGGGGTCACCACACATCCCTGTAACGGCAGAAATGCCGCAAATCGACCCCACGCGGTTCCACAACTTCAAACAAGTTTGGACTCCATTCTGTTGAAAACTGTGCCCTGCCTATTTGCGATAATGGCCCACTTACTTGCCTCTAAAGGAAGCCCTATGCTATGCTGCTGGGCAGAAGTGTGGAGCAAGTTGCTTCCAAATTCAAGTGCCGCCTTCCACCACGAAGTTTGACCCAGAAGACACCCCCTGTTATTCCTAGCTCCCATGCCCTGTACATGACCGGTGAAGGGCAAAAATGTTCTGTTGTCTGCCTCAAGCGCCCTTATTGGCAATTATTCAAGCTTCTAAGCCCTACATCCTGTGGTATCCTTTTGTATACGTACATAACCCCTATCTGACCCATGCTCTACATTGGACCCCAATTCCCCAGAACCCAGCCTCCTGGGCTGTTGAGGTATGCGGCCACGTGCGCGGCAAAGGGCCGGTCGCCCCCTGTGCCACCGTCAATTGCCCATTCCTTCAACCATAGTCGAAGCTGGAAAGAAGTAGGGCCGTGCACATGCGCGCTTCGAAAATTAGGCGGGGGGTGACTATAAGCGGGTTCCAATTATCTGAAGGGCGCATGAATCTGCAGAGAAAACATCTCAAAAGGCCAGGTTTCGGCGTCCATGGCAAAGTAGAACCGCTGCGCCCGGCCGCCTTTCAGGAGATACCGCCGGCGAATCACTCGACCGCGGTAGTGCCTTAGATGGCCTAGGCTCACACGTAAAAGAACAGCCTTCAATGATGCTGATGAGTTGCACCACTATGTCACCCTCCCGGCGCGGATGAAGAGTAAAAACGGAGTGTCCCTGCAGGGCCACTTCCACATCTAATGCGTCCCCCTCTTTAAACCCTCAAACTCCCAACCCTAAATCATAAACAATATATAACCCCAATATACTATAGCAGTTTCCATTTGCTTTTTCATTACCCCTATATAACCCCAATAT